ACCAGAAAGACATTTGGATACGGTAGTCTCTATTACGCCATCACTGTACATTCCCTTAAATGAGAAGCCACGAGACAAAGTCAACAACAGGTATGAAGCTAAAACAAAAACAAAAAAAGGGAAAAAATACAGCACCATGGAGTCGGAAAAATGTGCCACTGAATAACCAAATCAAGGACTCCCAATTTTGTGGCAGCTCTACCCTATCCATTGTGGTCATTGGGGAATGAACCAGGAAGCAAATGGAAGACTCTCTCTCTCTCTCTCTCTCTCTCTCTCTCTCTCTCTCTCTCATTCTTTCTGTAAAATTGGCCCTTGAAATAAAAATAAATAAGGGGTCTCTTTAAAAAAGCAAAACCATGGAGATCTATGAGGAAACTCCGTAAAGTTCATGGAAAAATGCATACTTTGATACAGTCATGCATGAATTTCATTTTTTGCAGCAAAATAAATTTATCTTTTAATTCAATGTTCCACATTTTAAAAAAAGATTTATTTATTTTTATGGAAAGGCGGAATTGATAGAAAAGGGGAGATATAGAAAAAAATTTTCCATCCGCTGGTTCATTCCCCAAATGGCTACAATGGCTGAAGCTGAGCCAGTCCGAAGTCAGGAGCTTTTTCTGGGTCTTTTATATAAGAGCAGGGTTCAACAACTTTGGGTCCCCTCTGTTGGGTTCCCATGCCATAAGCAGGGAGCTGGATGGAAAGTGGAATAGCCAAAACACAAACCAGCATCCATATGTGTTTGCAGGGCTTGCAGTTGGAGGATTAGCCAGTTGAGTCATAGCTCTAGTCCCTATTTTAAAAATAGAAAAACAGAGGCCATTGTGGTGCAGTGGGTTATGCCACTGTGTGTGATGTCCCCATCCAACATCAGAGCACTGAGTCAAATCCAGGCTACTCTACTTCTGCTCCAGCTTCTGATAATGTGCTTGGGAAAGCAACAGAGGATGACTCAAGTCTGTGGGCTCTTGTTACCCATGTGGGAGACCTGCGTGGAGTTCAGGGCTCCTAACTTTGGCTGTTGGTGCCATTTGGGGGAATAAAGCAGCAGATGGAAGATCTCCTTGTGTAACTCTTTCAAATAAAAAAATTAGTTAAAAAATATTGAATCACATTGACAGCAGCTAGCGTTGATTGAGACTTCCTAATGTACCAAGGACCGTGCTAAGCACTTTGCCTCTCATCTGCTTACATTGTCACAATAAGTCTCGGCTCGTTTGTAGAGAGAAGTTAGAGGCTCAAACAGGTGAAATCACGTGCTTAATGGCACACTGTTGGATGATGGAGAGCTGCCATTTAAATGTCCCGTGCCTCCGTTGGCTGCATTAATGGTTGCATAAATGAGCAGCAACTTCAAAGTCCAGTGCCAGGCCTCGCTGTTTGAATTGCCTAATGAAAGTACAAACAAAGCACAAACAAGTGAGATACTGTATGTGAAAATCCTTTTCAAAGTATAGAAATGTTTGGGGAGGGCAGACAGTGGTTGCGAGTTTGTTGAAATTAGTCTGACACCTAGATGGAATACTGTCTGTTGATAAAGCGGTGATCAACAACTTCCTTTTATTTTCCCCTTTAAAAATATTCTAAAGCTATATTGACTTCCCCTTTTCTGAGTCATAACTGATCATCATTCAAAAATTAACATGAGATGGACAAATGAAAGTTCTTAATATGCAGCACCTGCAATTACTTTGTTTCAGATTTTAGTGGTTATGTGGCTGTTGTGCATACTCATATTTTGCATAAGTGGGAGCACCTGTACATTTTAAGCATCTCTTTTAGCCTTTATAATACATTTTGGCCTTGTTTTCAAAATTAACCCTTAAAAATCTATTTTCCCTTTGAAAAGACGCCAAAAGCACAGGCAGTCAAAGACAAAATAAACAAATGGGACTACATCAAACTAAAAAGCTTCTGTACAGCAAAGGAAACAATTTACAAAGTGAAGAAACAACCAATAGAGTGGGAGAAAATCTTTACACACTACGCAAGTAATAGGGGACTAATATCTAGGATTTACAAAGAGCTTCAGTAACCCAGGGACAGTAAACAGAACAAAACAAAACAAAACAAAAAACCTGTGAAAAAAATGGGCACAGGAAATGAACAGACATGTTTCAAAAGAACAGATTCAAATAGCTAACAGATATGTGAAAAGATGCTCGGGCTCCCTAGCCATCAGAGACATACAAATGAAAACCACATTGAGGTACTACCTAACTGCAGTGAGACTGGCCTGCATTCAGAACTCTACCAACAACACCTGCTGGCATGGATGTGGGGAGAAAGGCACCCTCCTTCACTGCTGGAGGGAGTATAGCCTAGTACAACTACTATGGAAATCAACATGGAGAATGCTTAGACAATTGCAAATAAACCTGCCATATGACCCAGGTAACCTGCTCCCAGGAATAGACCCAAAGGAAGTGAAAACTGCATATGAGAAGGGGAGCTGTAATCCTATATTTACAGCAGCGCAGTCTACAATAGCAAAGAAATGGAAACAATCCAGATGCCCATCCAAAGAGGAGTTAAAGAAACAGTGGTACATCTATTCCATGCAATACTGTTCTGTCATTAAAAAGAATGAAATGGCACCATTTGCAACTAGATGGTCCCAACTAGAGACCATTATGCTGAGTGAAATAAGCCAATCCCAAAAGGACAAGTACCATGTGTTCTCTCTGATATAAGGAAACCATCATGCAAATTGTAAGGTCAATAACCCTTTCCACACTGTTTTTGCTGCATCCCATGTGTTTTGATGTTTTCTATTTCGTTTTCATTTCTTCAAAATACTTCGTTTTCTCTTATTGAATTCATTGTTGGCTCATGGATTGTATGGTGGCATCATTTTACCCAAGAGGCTTTTGTGTTTTCTTTTCATCACCCTTGATTTGGTTATTCAGTGGCACGTTTTTCCGACTCCATGGTGCTGTATTTTTTCCCTCTTTTTGTTTTTGTTTTGACTTCATACCTGTTGTTGACTTTGTCTCGTGGCTTCTCATTTAAGGGAATGTACAGTGATGGCGTAATAGAGACTACCGTATCCAAATGTGAAGACACAACGTAACATGCATCCCTACTTCCAAATCAAAGTTGGACTCCCAGTGAAACTGTTGGACATATCTAGACAATGGGATGCTGGACTGTCTAACACTGTCTGTACCAGCAATGTCGGACACACTTAAATAACAGACTGATGGAATTATGACTCCTTAGAAGGAGTATATTATGGGGAAAGTCAGTCAGGGGGTGGGAATTTGGACTGGAGGGAATCCCAGACCTGTGGAATTGTACCATAAATTTCAAAATTAAAAATAAATGTTAAAAAAAATCGATTGTAGGGCACTTAAGTCACTTGCAATGGTTTGTTTTTCTAATTAATGCTGAAATGACTTCCTCTCCTAAAAAACCTGGGAAAACCTTCAGGGTGAGTGTGGCACTTGGCCATCCTGAAGTAAGTGAAATTGACCCCGCGGGAATGTGTCCTGAGGGAAGGACTAAGTTTCACTATGTAGAGAAACAAAGAACTCTCCAAACCTTGGCCAACAGTCAGAGATGCTCAGGTTTACCAACAGGTGGGACTACTTCAAAAAGAACTCGTGGTTTTTGACAGTTTAGTAATAGAGAGGAGGCCGGTTACCATTACTTAGCGTCGGCTGGATCAGAAGAGGAATGTCCAGACTTGGGGCTGCTGGGGGGCTATGGATTCCAGCAGACAGTCCGGAGACAGAGGGGCAGGGAGATGAGCAGCCAAGCTCCAAATCAGGCAACAGCACGTGTGGATGGAGCGCTGACCTATGGGGAGACGACAAGCTCTTCCAGCAGAGGGCAGCGTCTCAAATATCCGGCAGCCCCGGGGCCGGCTGGAGCCAGAGCTGGGGACTCCGCGGGAGAGACGGCACTTAGCTCAAGGCCCGGGAGAAACTCAACTACACAGCCCCTGAATACTGTAAGTGACACCACGGGGGTATTCTCAGGGAGGGACAGTGGGATCTGACACTGCTGTGATTCGCCTGTTTTCTCAGTTCTAACGAGCTGGTTTGCACAATAAATCTCTTTTGATAAAGTTTGGTTACTTGGGGTTTCTAAGAAAGGAGTCACTTTAACCTGCCTGCCCAGTGAGTTTCTGGGTGTATGCTTTAATCAAAAAATTCGTGACGTGCCTAAAATGTAGCATAGTATCCTGGCCATGCGGCCCTGTGGCTCTGACACGAAAGTTTACAAATGGAAAGTTAGCAAAAGGAAAGATAGGTAACAACTGTATGAAAAAGTAGAAACTTAGAAAATCGTTAAGAGAATTAACATTTGTCTTAAAGACCTCAATGATGACCAACGGTGGCATTTAAAACGAAACTTGAGCTTGGAAGAGACAACATGAGAATTGCTATGCATGCAGATAATGGAAGATTAATAGAACTTACTATGCAGGTGTAACCATTTTCCATAAACTAGTCGCTATTTGCTTTTTTTTTTTTTTTACTGTGTATGGTTGAAATCAGAGTACTATTAACTTTGTAACGGTGTTTCCTAGGTTTGTGGTTTTTTTTTTTTTGTAAGCAGTCACTTTGGTATTTGCTAATGGAGTCAAAGCAGATTTGCGAGATGATAAAATAATGTGTACGTTTAACGATCACACTGCCCAAACACATCACATACAAAGCCAGAGGCACAGCAACGTCTAGGGATATCTTGCATGCATTTCTCAGAAGAATATCAAATGGAAGAAATACCAGCAAAGAAAATAAAGTCCTGGCCGATTTTATTCTCCCTGCAACTTGTAGTGCTGGGATGTGTGGCGTTCTCTCCCGGTCCTTAGATTGCTAACTGGTCGCCCTACCCGGGCCAAGGAGCTGAGCAGTTCCTCGGGCCCAGCTGCAGGAGGCCAGGCCCAGCCAGAGCAGCTTCAACGGCTTTGGGGTGAGAAGGGGGAGGGGGGTAGAGAGAGTCAGCAGCAGCTGCGGGCGGGAAGGGACGGACGCCAGAGGTTCTCCCAGAGGCCCTTTTCCAAGGCCGGAGCCTGGACCCGAAACCGTCCGCGGGCGGCTGGCTCGCTCAGCAGGGCGCGGCCCCCCGCGCCACCCGGCTCGCCCCGAAGAGGTGGGACTTTCCCCACCGGAAGTGATCCCGTCCAGTCTCGGGGAACTGGGGCACCTCAGCCAGTGTGTCAGGGAAACCCTTCCGGGTGTGTGCTGGGGAGGGGGGAGAGGTGGGGGGGTGGGTGAGGAGAAAAAAAAAAAAGAGGTGGGTTCGGCTGGTGTCCCTGCGGCCACCGCCGCCACCGCCGCCGGCCGGCCCCCGCCCCTTTCCCCTCGGCGAGCAGCCGCGCTTGGGCGGCGGTGACACACACGAGCCAGCGGGTGGTCATGGCCTTGGAGTGACAGAGCCTCCCGGGCGGCTGGGCGGGTGCGGACGGCCGGGTAAGCGGCGGCGGTGGCGGCGGCAGCCTGGTGAGGGTGGCAGTTGGGGGAAAGGAGCAGCCCGGGACCGCTGCTTGGGGTGAGGGTCAGGCGGCTAATGCGTGTTTTTCTCCCCCCCACCCCTCCCCGCCCCGCCATCACAGGCCGGACGTCTCTCGCTTGGAGCCGGGACCCAGAGATCCGCCCGGGCAGCAGTGACGGGTGCGGAGCCCGCAGGCCTGGGCTGGCTCGCCAGCGGCGCTAGCAGGAAGCGGGGACCCTGGGCCCCTTTGTGTGAAGGCTGTCGGGCAGCCCCAGGCTCTGAGGACAGCCGCCCGCCTTGCCGCCGCCCCCACCCCTTCCCTTCTAGGGGTGCGCTGATTCTCCCCACCCTCGATCGCCCTCTCCCTGGCTCGCCCTCCTCCCCACGCCCCCTGCCTGGGCTTCACTTCCTATAGGAAGGGCATTACCATCCCATCCCCACCCACCCCCGACACTTAGCTCTTTCCCCTCCCCCTCCTGTAACTTCCTCTTCTTCCCCGCTCGGGCCCTCGGCTCCTCTGCACTCTCCTCCCCAGTTCGCAGATTTCCGCCCACCTTCCGCCTAGCCGCGCCGCAGCTAGCGGGGTGTTGTTTCCCTCCCCCTCGGGTAGGAGTTGGTGTAGGTGAGCCTCATGAGGGAATACAAGGTAGTGGTGTTAGGGAGCGGAGGGGTTGGCAAATCTGCCCTGACCGTGCAGTTTGTCACTGGGACTTTCATTGAGAAATATGACCCCACCATTGAAGATTTCTACCGCAAAGAGATCGAAGTGGACTGTTCGCCCTCTGTGCTGGAAATTCTGGACACCGCAGGAACTGAGCAGTTTGCCTCCATGAGAGACCTCTACATCAAAAACGGCCAAGGCTTCATCCTGGTGTATAGTCTGGTTAATCAACAGTCTTTTCAGGTAATCAACCCAAGTCTTGCGCATTTGTTGGAAGGGGGTGTGGTAATCGTGCCTTCCCCTCCGCGTAGTGTGAACCGCGCCTTGCTGACCGTCTTTGGCTTTTGAAAGTTAGACATGGCGTATTTTTTAGGTGACTCTTGGCGTGGCAAAGTGTCAGGTTGTTTCTGGAAAGAGAGAGGGAGGAAGGGAGGGAGAGAGTGAGTGAAAGAGAGAGAGAGAGAATGAGAAAGCACGAGAAAACTGAAGCATGCACGAATATTTTTGAGTTATTTATTTATTTTTAAGTCAAGGCAAAGCCAGAGAGAGAGAGAGACAAGGGGCTGCTGGGCCGACTTTAGCCCTGGGATATAACCATTCCGGAGTTTCCTGTTCAATTGCACAAGTATTGATTAACCCATTCAGCACAAACAACCCTTAACAGATAATCTTGAGCAAATAAAGGGCTTGGAAAGGAAAGGGCTGGGGAGCCCATTATCCAGCGCACAGATAACTCAGCTGAGTCTGCTCTCAGCTGCGGCCTGGGGGCGGGGGGGGGGGGGGCATGCGTGTCTCCCCAGCTGTGCCACGGCTCTGTTATCGCCCAAGGACTCAGCTGAATTTGTAAATCCGACTAAGGCTACCGGAAGAACCCTGGCACTCCCTTCTAGGCATTTGACTTGGCGGCGTGCAATATAAGGGCCAGTTGCTAACTGAAAAGTAGAGTTCCTACAAGTGACTGCATTGCACCCCCCACCCACCACACCACCATCACAAATGAATTCTGTTTGGTTACAGTGCTATCTTGGGTGTTGTCCAGTTTCTTAGGAAAACTGCCTAGTCCTTCCCTGGGAGACAGACTGAAGGTTTAGCGTTATTTTAAGAGATGCACTAAATGTTGCTATTTATTCCTTGAGAGTAAATAACCTCATATTGACCCATTATATTGACCTCCATTGATTTAGGAAATGGGTATTATTTTTTTTTCTGCATTTAAAGGTATGCATTTAATGTTGCTTACTTAAGAGACCTTAAGTGCTTTAGCCAATCCAATGTACTAATTTCAGTTTCTTTAGTACTTGAAAGTACTAAGGTGAACTTTTCCAGGGACCTGATACAGCCAGCTCAGAAAATTATTATTATTTTTTAAGATAAGAAGTTCTGGGGAAGTGAATCAAAACTATTGGGACCAAGGGAAAGTTCAATTTCTGTAGCATTAAGTTCCAAAGCGATACTATTCGCAAAGTTTCTTCCCCAGAAAGTACTAAAGTGAGAAAGGTGGTATTTCACACGTGTTTTCTTTTTAAGATCCTCCGGAGGTTTTGTTATCTGCGCAGCTGACTCTCTAGAGACTGGGAGTCTTCACAAGGGTGTCTCCCAAGATTCCCGTTAAATCCATTTCTGTTACAGACATAAACAGAGAGTGGAAAACACTGCCAGGACTTCAACAGACTTAAACTCCTTAGAGCCCAAATGCCAGAAGTTGGGACTGAGCTGAGCTTTGGGTTACTACCATAACACCGGAAAGACTGAACTGGTGAAACACGGTCAAATCAAACTGTGACAAGCAGCAAGTAACTGTGTAAATTTTGAGTGGACCAGGACTATGCAAATTAATCACATTTGCTATTTACGGCATCTCTTTTCAGGGTTGTAAGACATCTTAAAATCTTGAATGCTAGGTAGGATTAAATCTCTATTATTGTCTTAAAGCAATGTTTTTCCCTCCCTCAAATTGATGTTACTGGAAAATTGTGAAAGTTCTTACCTTTTGTAATGCATTGTAGTTCCTTAGGAAATAATACACGTAGAAGGAAAAAAAATCTAGTGTTAAATACAAACCTGAGGAAAGAAAGACTTCTTCCCGCCTGCCTGCCTGACTCCCCTGGTATCTAATATATGAAGGGCATTTTCAAGTGTTCTGTTTTATTGGAAGACAAGTGCAAATGATCACTTTAAAATGAAATGTTTAAGTGTCTTAATCATTTTTTTAAACTCGCGTCTTCTGGGCATTAGAAAGTGTTTTAGTTGTTCCCTGAACAATTTCTCTCCAGTTTTCTTGCTAACTGGCCAGGAATGCTGCAATCCTGGGCTAGGATAACAGGTGTTACAAGAAGCAGTGACAAGCAGGCAGGTTTAGGAACATGGCCAAGCAACTTTGTGTGTGAGCAGATTAAGCATATTTGGGGGCTCTTCTTCATTACTGTATTTTTGGGGATGATGATGGAAAGTTAATTTGTATCTGACTTTTTGGGCTGGTAGAGAACCTACGTTTTATATTTTTCAGATAAACTCAGCAGGTAGGTTCTGTGGAAATTATTTAGGTCCTCCTTCAGTGAACACAGTAACAGTGTTTTCTCCATTTGAGTATGTGGTTTTATTTTGGATGTAGCTTTATCTACTCACCATGCGCTGACTTTTCTGTTGTTGATATTGCTGTCCTGCTATTACACAAATAAATTCTTTTCCTTTTCTCTTTGTGATTGTTCAAATAGGATATCAAGCCGATGAGAGATCAGATTGTCAGAGTGAAGAGATATGAAAAAGTCCCACTAATCCTAGTAGGAAATAAAGTGGATCTGGAACCAGAAAGAGAGGTTATGTCTTCAGAAGGCAGAGCTCTTGCTCAAGAATGGGGATGCCCTTTCATGGAGACATCGGCAAAAAGTAAATCAATGGTGGATGAACTTTTTGCTGAGATCGTCAGACAAATGAACTATTCGTCCCTGCCTGAGAAGCAAGATCAGTGTTGTACAACTTGCGTTGTCCAGTAAGAAAAAGATAACCTCAATCATGGCCATACCGAGCAGGTTAGTTGTTGACGGGAATGTAATAGGTAGTGTTTTGTTCTGTTTTTTTGAACAACTATAGCAAGAAGCTGATTAGTATAAATAATGCACATGGCACAATCTTACATTTATCTTTATTGTAAAATGACATCTCTCCAAGCACAGAATTGTATCAATACAGGACGCTTAAAAAATGTAGCTAACCCAAACAAAGCAATTGCCTGTATTCCAATCACCAAGCTTTATGGATTTTTTAAGTGAGTTTACTGTCCTTTCCTATTGACATTTCTTTGGGTTGAGTCAAATCATAATACACTTTTTCCCCTGTTTGGCTGATGTATCTTCTAAACTGCACTGGAGAACCTTCAAAAAGAACTTCAGAAGGCGATGAGTTCCATGATGACTTCTATGCTTTTATATGCAGGCAGCAGAGTTGCCTATAATTGAAATAATCAATTTATTAATCATGTAAGTGCTTTATTTTGCAGGATGATCATTTAATCACCTTATTCTGCACTTGAGGGACTTAAGTGACCTCTGAAAATAGAAAATTATAGTACCACAGTGTATCTTGACTTAATTATGAATAGTGGTCCTAATGAGAATCTGCTGAAAACATCTGTGAGGTGTTAGAAGGTACAGTCGCCAGCACAGGAAACGTTCAGTTGACTGAAGGATAAAATTAAGAAACAGTAAAAAGTGTTCAAAAAAGGTATTCAAACATGAAATGATGCAAGGTTTGAGGAAACTAAGAGTGTTATCTTAAATTTAAAAATACACGCATAAATTAGAAAAAATATTTTGTAAAAAAGTTTTCAGTTTACTATAATGAAGTTATAAACGAACCTACTGGTTAGTAATATGAATTTATTCAGATAATTTATTATGTCCTGCAGAGGAAGCATTGCTGAGGTACTGGTGTTATGGTTTATATTTATTGACACTGAAAAGTGTTTATTTTTAATGAAAACAACTGGTTGCAAAAGAGAGAAGTGCTAGCTTCTAATCACACAGATGTTTTTCTTCAGCCACAACCATTGATTACAGGGACAAACACATTTGAGTTTGGGTGAAAGAATTTGTCATATTGTCTAACTGGAAATAGTGTCTAGTTGAGGAATAATAATAATCTCAAAAGTTTTCAATGAAATGAGATCCTGACAAAGTAAGGTTATGTAAAACTTCGCATTTAAAATGAGATTATTTGATTCATATCATAGTCTTTTAGTCTTGGCTGTAGTTGAGCAAGTACCCTCACTTAGACGGTAGCCCTTAGATAGTAAACACAGCCAGCATCGTGGATGACTGAGAAACCGCAGCAGAGCCAGACAGGCCTGACAGTATCAGAAATGGAATTGATCTTTCTGAGCCAAGGCTGACCTCGAGTCTGGGAGACAGTGTTGCAAATGGCAACAGGCATGTTAGATTGCAGTGATGATTCCTAATCAAAGGTCGGGCTTTATATGTGCTCCCTGGAGACCAGACGAATGGTCTCTAATTTATCTTTTCAGACAAGGTCTCCTGTCAGGTTGTGTCATCTTTCAAAGATGACAACAGTGCCTTATTCAAAATGCCTCACTCATCAGCCTTTAGCGTACTGGAACATAATGAAAATTCATCCATTTTCCTATGTCTAGCTGATCTGTTACTTTATAATAAAGTCACCATTCAGACTGAAGTCCAGCACACATTTTTGGGACCATGACATTTGCGATATTGTCTTTTTAGGAAGGAACAGGTGTAGTTGGTGGCTGAGTTCTGTATTCTTGTTTGCAGAAGCAAGGTTCAAGTTTGAACAGGTTGTGTGTAGTGATTGCATCTTTACCATCATATTCTGTTTCTGCTAGCTGATGCTTTTAACTGGGCAGATGAATAAGAATGTGTACTTGGCTTTAGTTTTATCATCTTTGTATAAAAATGTATCCTACTCCCACAGAATTTCTGAATTTTGTTCTTGTCATTAACCTACATAACTAAAGGGGGTAAACAGTAAAATTAGTCGCAACCAAAATGGCAAAGGCCTAACTTCTTTTTATTACTATTCATTTGAGAGACAGAAGGCACACCCAAAAGTAAGAGAAATCAAGAGACAATGAGAGAGCTTCTATCTGATAGCTAGCTCCCCAGATGCTCTCTGAGACCCCCAAACCGAAAGTCAAGGACTAAAGCCGAGTCTCCCAAGTGAGTGGCTGGGTAATGACTTAAGCCATCACCTCTGCCTTGCTGAGTCTTGCATTGCCACAATCAGATTGCCCAATGTGGGATGCGGGCCAAACATTCTTTCCAAATGGACAATTGCTAACGATATTTCAGTTTTTTTATTACAAGTTTATTTCCTTTCCTTGTGATCAGATTATTTTTAATCCATTTGGTTACCTGCAGAGCACATAAATTTTTTTCCTATCAGAAGCCTGCTATGTGCATTTCTGTTGATGAATATGTTAGAAATTAGAAATGAATAACTACAGATATTCTTGTTTATAGTAAGTTTTGTTGCATTTTTAGTGTATGTGCTGCCCAAGCAAGCATTTATAGTAAGTTTTATCATCAAGTTATTTGTATTGTTTTTTCTTTTTGTTAAGTATAATGCATAAATCAAAATGTAGGTTGTAAGATAGAAGAACTAATCAGCTTACTTTCTAAAAATACTGAATGAACTCTGATCATATTCTGTTAGAACTAAATACACTGGGGGGGGGGAGGGGCGGGAGAAGCGGATATCAAGCAATAGTCAACTGATGTGAATGGGAATGTATGAACCTGAGGCTAGTCAAGTTTCAGGTTGTCCCAACCAAAGAACAGGTGATGGCTTCCGGATCCTGTAGTGTGGGTCTTGGGGCTCTGAAGTCTGTCAGTCCTACATTGACACTGACGATCAAGCTTTACCATGTAGAGGGGATTTAGGAAATATTTGTCCTTAATATTTACTAGTACCTTATCCAAGAAGGAATAATAGAACTTAACCAAGCAACACTGTGATTATTATTGCTATTTTATTGATTTTAACTGAGAGGAAAATTATATTAATGCTCTAAGAAATGGCTCTGGATAATTCTTCCTGTTTCTTGACACCCTTTGATTTGGCTCAGTGGTCTTTTAGCGAACACCTGTGCTTTTGCATGGACCCCAGGGTGGTTTCCTCACCTTGCCCCAATCATTGGCAGACATGTTAGAGTAAATTTGGAAACATGGCCAGATTCTATATAGGTTGGTCTCATCCTTGGTGGCCTTGAGGTAGCTGCCATCAGTGCTTTGTAGGACTTGTTTTACCATGTGGACAGCAGCATAAGAGCAACCCAGGCCAGTGTTGTCCATCTAGTTTGGTTTTACTCATGACCTCGCCACTCCTGTGTTGGTGTAAAGAATTGACAATTTACCATTTTAGTATACCACTGTTGACAAGTGTAGATGTTATATGAATAATCTCATCACAGTTTTAAAGAAGGAAATCAGCATTCAATGTGCATTCAGGGCAAGAAGAGCCTCCCTCCAGTTAGAGGAGTTTCTCAGCATTTCCACTTCTGCTCGGGGTTGTCAGATATCTAGCAGTATTTCTGGCTTGTACAGTAATACTGGATGCCACTGGCAGTCCCCCAGCCTGCCCAATTGAGACAGATGAAGATATCCCTGGAAATTGTCAGAAAGCCCCTGGAGAGGGAGGAGAGCAGAGTCTTTCAGTGGAGCATCATTGAAGTAGACAAGTTGAAGGAGCAGCAACATTTGAGTCGGGCCTTGCTGACTGGGTAGGATTTGAGGGGATGGATAAGGTGGCAGGGGTGATTTCAAAGCAGAAAGAATGGCCACCAGTAGCATAAGAATGTCTTCAGATCTGCTGGCTCATTCAAAGGAAGCGGGCAAGTGCAGTAACGCTTTCCCTTAAATGTGACAGGTTGGTCTATGTTTTGGGCAAATAGAAATTTGTAATGATGATTTTTCAAGGATTTCCATGTGCTGGGCCAATTTTATGAAATAATAATAATAATAATAAAGTCAGGGAAGGGGAGGTGTTCTTTAGGACTACCTAAATGTCTCTTGGAGATTTTATACATTTTTCTCAGTGTATCCTGGAATGGGTTTTCCCAACTGGAATAAATGGCACAAACGAGTACCAACACCAGGAAGCAAACAGAAAGAACAAAGATCATGATTTATGTCAACTTCAGTTCATTATATATGTGAGCCTGAAGGAAAAGGGGGATTCTTGACTCAAGACTAGCAGATCATTTCCCAGGGCAGCAGAATGCCTGCGAGGTTAGCAAAGGCTCCTGGAAGGCTAGACCATCTGTGGGTGGGACTGAGCTACTTCTGAATATAGTGGGATTGATTAACATTTTCAGCAGCTTTTCAAGTAAGTAAAAAATATAGAATCAGAATTACTTCCAATCCTATTTGGGGGGCTTTTACTTAGATAACAATGCTGGATTTGAGTAAATATGAAAAGAAAATCTTCAGTCATGTTGTATAGGTTGAAATGCTGGCATTTTCATATCCAAGTGAAATGTTAGTCATATCAATAAAACTCTAGGGTGCAATTCTGCTGCAGAAGTTACAGTTTTATTAGGTACTGCTTTTCTTCTCCTGCCCTGATTTTCTGTGTTATCTGGAGTAGGGAGAATGGCTTATTTGTCATCCAGGTTATTTGGTGAGTTGAAGTAAAGAAGAAGGCTTGGATGGAGGGTCAAGCGTGATTTGGAATAGTGTACACCATATTGGACCTGGGATCCATGCCAGCATAGCGCATCTTTGCCCTTTCTGGCACCCCTAATTCTCCTGGAGCTTCTTTGGCCCCTATGGGGGCTGTGGGACGTGCTCTGGGTATGGAGGTGTGTGGTGATTAGAATGACTCTTTGTGTATCTGTTCCTTCTTTAATTGCTTCCTTTTAACTTCAACATTAGGCTTTTATTGAAGAATGAACTGCATATGACACATGCAGATTTATTCCATTTACTTCTCTGGCTTAGAGTGACCCATCAGTAGAATTATGAAAAACTTGCCTCATAGACTTGGAATATTGCCACCAGGGAAGTGTCCTAACCCTACCACAGGAAAGATTGTTTTTGCAGGATTGCCCTCCTCCTGCGTTTCTGCAGTTTGCAAGATAATGTCCCTAAGAAAAACTGAAGTCCTGTTGGGGAAAAATGCGTACAATCAAAAACTGACTCCCAGAGTCCTTTACTAGCCACTGTGTTAGAGCAATCGGATTTCTAAAATGTACTTTAAAGTGAGGAGAATTGTATCCTCCCTGGCCCAAGTCACAGCCAGGAGCTGGAATCAACTCACTGGGCTTGCAGTGTTGGGGATCTCCACTCTTGAGATTTCAGAATTGGATTCATCGTATTCATTTAAATTTTTGGAGCTTTCAGGTCTGACACATAAGAAAAATAATCCATTCCCTAACACTGAGTTCATCATAAACGTTAAGCCTGCATGCTCTCCCTTAAGGAATCTGTCACAGGGTCAGCTTTTGCAGGTCAGCTTTTGCGAGTGAATGACAGTGAGCACTTTTAATGACATAATACTCCTACACCCCCAGTCAGCTTTGTGAGTGTAACACAGATTAGAGAAATGAAGCAAGATATTAAAAACTTAACCTCTGTCAACAGAATTCCAGCATGGTCTTCTGATAATGCAATTAATATTTAGGTATGAAAATGCCAAGTCAAGAAAAGAATGAAGAGAAGTTTATTTAAAAATAAGTCTTGGCATAAATCTTCAGAATATTATGTAGCTAAAACGCGGGGGCGGGGGATAGGAGCAGTTATGATTGCACATATGCTCCAAAGGAGAGAAAGGATGCTAGTAAATGCCACTGTTATGGATAGGAAGTCCAGTTAAGCTGGAAGTATATGAACTGCTAGGGCGTCCGAGAGCCCGTGCATTCTGCCCCAAGAAGTGATATGCTAGTTTTGAGTTGGGAACCTCCCTTTTTCTTCAGGCTGACGTAAATAATAATCAGTGCTGTGCTTGGTAGCCTTGTGTGCTTACCCCGCTTGGGGGGGACCCTGGTTTCCTGAGCACAAGGTTTGGATTATCATTTGCCCTGTGTTTTGTAGTCTCCCATAATACCTCACTAGACAAATGTGAATGTCTGATGAGGAGAAGGTGTTCCAACTCTAACGCAGACCTTTGCCATGCATCTTGATGTGGCATCCTAGCAGTGATGAAGTGCTTATTTGATCAGGAGCCGGGATGTTTCTCAAAATGACAGTGTGTTAGAAAACTGTCAGTGCTGCCGTCACTGTGCAACAAGAACGTTTACATATTGCTGTGAAATTCTGATCTGAGACTGTCCTTTTTGCTTCATACAAACTCCTGCTTTGGAGTTAATTGCTACCAAGAATTATAATATAGTAGTGTTTTGAAAAGTAGCCCGCATTAATGCTGAATGCCTGGTGTTGATATTGCTTAGTGTGACTCAGAATATATATCCCTTAGTCTCACTGGAGTGTTGTAGTCCAGGGGTGTGTGGATGGACAAATTTTAACCAAGTTTTGGGAAAGTGGAAAGTGATCAATTTGTCTATTTTTACTTATGTAGACTAATAAGCTAATAAGTGGGTTTGTATTCTTATTCTGGCTATCTAAAAAAAAAAACACAGCTAACTACATTTTCAGTTGGAATTCAGAGGATGAAGTCTATGAAAGCATTCAATATTTAATTCATAAGAATAGCTTAAACTCTTGAGCTATTTATACTTTTTGAAATGTCGATCAAAATTGAAATTTACAAGTTTAGATGAATCGAGGGAAGTGTAGTCTGAATTACTGGAAAATCTTTGTGATGAAATACATGTATAATGAAATGTGGTTGTGTCTCCAGTAGATGTAGTGATTCAAACTAAGCTAAAAAGAAGCCCAGGTCTTTAGTTTGGACATAATGGCCAGGCCCTGGTCTGTTACACAGTTGTCACACAGTTGGGAAAGGAACAGTACTTGACTCAGGTGTTGCTGTTTCCAAGGTACTTGCACAAGCCGCATGATGTGATGTTCGCAGTCCTGGGGAGGGGGAGGAGGTTATCCCTACTTTTATAATTAGGAAGCTAAACTTGCCCAAACTTAAATGACCAGTGTCCTCATTAACAAAAAGTCCAAATTTCAGCTGAAAAAGAAAATGTTTCTGTGATAGATTGTAAAGAGACTGAGAGTTTTGTTCGATTTGTCCCTGGTGTGATTAGGGGTAGAACTTCAGTAAGAATGAGAGCTACATTAAGTTCAACATTTATGAAACAGCTGCCAGAGGCTTCTCTCAGGCTCTTAGAATACTGTCAAATGACATGCATGAAAATTGTACCAATGTAAATGCTGGCAGAGCCCTTAAATACTCTGACTCTGGTGTTGCTCGCCTTTCGTTCCTAGTTTCTGTTCTTTTATTTCTTGCATTCTGGTGCGATATTTTATTGTGCGCATTAACGTGCAGTTCCATTCTCCCTAGAAGCCAGTTGGTGATTCAGCACAGCTGAAGGGTGCTGCGGCTGTCCAGATGACTAGCTGCAAGGGCCGCCATCTCTGAGCTGTGAGAAGAGGCTGACAGCACGAGTCCCCAGGGGCAGCCTGTGCAATGGGGACTGCTGCTGCCACCTAGGTGGTCAGGTTCCAAGTAAAATCAGCATAAGCCACAACTAGATCAATTGGAGTATGAACATTGGCCATATTGTATAGCACAGGTATACAGTGACATCTTATCATGAAAATAGAGTAGTTTCGAGCACACATTCTGTCCAGTGCATCGTTGCTATGTTCCTAATCGCTACTGACTTGTTAGGACCACAGCAGACGACTTGTTTTTTGGCGAGGGTAGGGTACTCAGACTGATGGGGAATACGATGACATTCCAGGTTGAGATTGTGGTGCATGTTTGTACTTGCAGATCCATTGTCGATGTTAGCTTCTAAAACTGTTGTTTCTGCATTTGGTGACTTTTTGAAATCTTCATTGCAGATAAAACTCAGAGGAAATTTGCACAGATGCTGCTTTGGAGAACTTTACAACCTGGGTTGCAGAACTGAGCCTTGGTAAACCTGTCTCTATTACAGCATGTTGCCATACATCGAATTAAGTGCATAAGGTCTTTGGCCGTCAAGATCCAACGACCTTCAACAGGAATGCTTAGCACGTTTACCATACGTTTCAAAATCTGTTCTTTATCAGTCCTTTTATAGCTTTCTAAGTTCTTATTGATGGCTAATATGCAAGGGTTAATTTTTAATATTTTCATTGATTTCTTTAATCAGTTTCTCAACTTATATTTATTACTCAAAACTCAGTATTACCTACTCAATGCCTTTTAAAAGAAAGTTATAAATGGAGAAAAAATTGAGCCTTAAACAAATGGTTACTTCTGTATATTACCTCGTACCAGTGCTTCATTCTATTTGTAAAATCTTTCTCCTTTAAATGGTCGGTTAATACTTTGAGACTTTGTTTACATGTGGCAGTGTTGTAAAAAGAAACTAAAGATCACATTGCATCTATATGGATGGAATATCCCTTTTCTTCAAGTGCGGCTTGTGATGTGTTTTTGTACTTAACATGTTCTGTATTTGCAATTGACTGTAGAGCATTTAGTTGAACAGTTAAGTGTTCAATTCCATTAGGTTTTCACATGTGTTAATCTCATTTACAGCATTGAATTGCAGCAGTAACATTTTCCTTTCTGTGAAGTTCTAAATTTAGTTATGACCTACTTAGCAATGCCTTTGAAAAGGGATATTGTATCCATGGTAAATTAATTGTATACCTAAACAGAGATAGCTCAGCTTTGCCTGTCAGGCTTGTAAGTGACATCCAGTAGACTTCTGCACATGTAAAATTGATTCGAATAAAATCATGTACACTTTCTAGCTCTTAATATTTTGTCTTTCTGAATAATAGTTTAAAGCAATATTTGTTAAAGTTTTCTTGCACTATCACAATTGCTTTTTTAGTTATTTTCTCCAGAAGCATGTTCGTAGTAGAGACAAAATCTGTGTAACAGGAGGGAGAATAGCACCAAGTCTCTGGGCTAATATATTTTATTTTTGCAAATGTGCTTTCTAATAGCCATTGCCTTCCATGTTGTTTACCTAATCAGCACATTTTGTCTGAATACTTGAACATTTAACCGTAACACAGGTATAGAAACAGAAAAGAAATTTATAAAGACGAATCTTTGGTTCAGTTTTAACATCATGACAACAAGCGCTTTTCCTAGCAATGATTTTTAAATGGTGTCAGCTTGACAGTATTTTGTTCCTTGGCTTTTATTTGGTTTTAGTCGTGTGCTTTTAATTTGCAGAAGTTAGTAACTGCAGCTCACCTACTGCACCAAAGTTCTCGATTTTAGGAGCCCAGCTTTAGTCATTTGAACATGCTTCTAAATAAAACAACAAACCAAAACCATGCTTTTGATCTATAATAATAGCTCAATAATGTTGTCAAGGAAAGCCCTAATATATGCAGTGATGGTTTACGGAAGGGTGTGGCAATTTTAAATTTCTATTGTGTGTGATGTTCAAATAAAGTGATATCTACATTCATGTGATTTATTGGTCAACATGACCATTAATTATTGAGTAGAAATTGATTAAACTTTGATTTCCTTTTTTTAAATCGTGTTGCATTTGATTCCTGATCAGATTCCCACATCGTAAACTGTTGCTCTTAAATTTTGAATTTTATGGTGAAAATTGTAAGGGTGAGGCAATTGAAACATTGTGCTTTGTTTATAAACTGCTTGAAACGAATCTGTAATTTAAGTTTGCACCTTAATACCAAACTTAAAAAACCAAACACTCATTTCAAAGTAGGTTAAGTAATTATGGTTCATCTTGATTAGCTTTGTCAAAATCTAAAGGAATCAAATAATTCATGATTAAATTTTCTGCAGCTTGCTTTTGCATTGTTTCTTTCCTATGGATCTCCCTCTTTTCTCCCTCCCTTTCCCTCTTCCCCTACCTGTGTGTCTCCCTCTCTCGCTCTCTCCTCCATGTCTGTCTCTCTTTCTTCTTCTCCTTCTCCTTGTCCTCCACCCCTCAAATACAGTGTTCATTGTCATTGACCTCAGCAGCAAATTTAACTTGAATTTATCTAGGATCACAGGAATCAGGGGAAAGTGATTTTAATGATGGTTTCTCCAGCACATTTTAAGAAAAGGGACCAAAAGTTATTTTAGCTTCCTCAATAGATTGCATGTTGCTTATTAGGATAATAAATTAAATATTAAATGCAATATATGTCTTGTCTTTACTATGGCATCTGTTTAGGAGTTGTTCAAATCACTGCAGTAGGGCTCTGCAAATAAAATCATGTAACCTATTATCCTGGATCTAATGTACTGTATCTTTATCAGTGAAAAGTAAAATCTCAAATAATAAGTACAAACATTGAACAATTACCTATAAAGATTTGTAAAAGTAAAATTTTTCCAATAGATTTCATTCTTGTCATTTTGTAAGACGACCCTGCAGTCCACCTGTTTGTAACTTTTTTAATAAAATAGACATCTGTATTACTGAGGTTGGTTTTCTTATTTGGTATATTGCGTCTTGTTCTAGATCTGCTAACTCAGACACCTTGTAACTGAAAGTCATTTTTGGTAAACATGATAACATACATTACATTACATATCGAGCGCTTATTCACTTGTTTCTTTAGTCACTGTTTGGGAATATGGTGGAGCTGGTTGCGGGGAGCTAAGCCATGTCCCAAAAGTAATATTGATTTAGTCAGTTTGAATAACCTAAATCACAAGTTATGAGTAATGAGTAAAGAAAGAATAATGTATGTATATAACATGGCCAGGTACAGAAAGTAGACCAGCCATAAATTTGATACCTGTGAATTGTCCATGTATAAAATATTTCAGATAATATTAAGCAATACCATTGAATTTCAGAATACTAAGTTCAAAAAAATTAACAATTCAGTTATCACTTTATCTGGTGGAAGAGTTTTCTCTAGTCACTTTTTTATACAAATTTAATTATTTTTATTGGAAAGGAGATTTTACAGAGGAGAGAGATTTTTCCATCACCTGGTTCACTTACCAAATGGCCACAATGACTGGAGCTGGGTCAGTCCAAAATCAGTAGCCAGAACCTTCTTCTGGGTCCCAAACATGGATACAGGAGCCCAAGGACTTGAGCTATCCTCCATTGCTTTCCCAGACCATAAGCAGGGAGCTGAATGGGAAGTGAAGCAGCCAGGACATGAACTGGTGCCAATATGGGATGCCAGTGCTGGGAGGTGGAGCCAGTTGAATCAATTTATTTGTGCTTCTAGTCACTTTAAAAATATAGATTTATTTATTTATTGGAAAGCCAGATATACAGAGAGGAGGAGATACAGAGAGGAAGACCTTCCGTCCGATGGTTCACTCCCCAAGTGGCCGCAATGGCTGGAGCTGAGCTATTCCAAACCCAGGAGCCAGGAACTTCTTCCAGGTCTTCCACGTGGGTGCAGGGTCCCAAAGCTGGGTCATCCTCTACTGCTTTCCCAGGCCACAGCAGGGAGCTGGATGGGAAGCAGGGCTGCCAGGATTAGAACCGGCATGCATATGGGATCCCAATGTGTTCAAGGCAAGGATCTTAACCACTACACTATCACGCCAGTGCCATATTTATTTAAAAGGAAAAAAAGAAAGAAATCTCTTAATTTTCTGGTTCATTCCCCAAATGGTTACAATGGCCAGAACTGTGCTGGTCCAAAGCCAAGAGCTTCCTCCAAATCACTCCTATGGATGCAGAGGCACTTGGCACTTGGCACTACTGCTTTCCTAGGTACATTAGCAAGGAACTGGATCAAAAACTGGAGCAGCTAGGACACAAACAGATGCCCTTATGGGATGCTGGCACTGCAGGTGGAAGATTAGAACACTATGCCAAACTCTATTTTTAAGTTTTAAATAGATATTTTAACCTCGCTGTTTCAAACTCATTCAATTCTGTGGCCTACATTAGATACATAAATATATATCTTGTGGGTGGATGGGCACATTTATACGCCTGTTTTGTTATGATTTAATTGGAAAGGCAGATTTTAGAAGGAGAGGTGGGTCTTCCATCCACTGGTTCACTCCAAATAGTCACAATGGCCAGAGCTGAACTGATCAGGAGCCAGGAGCTTCTTTCTAGACCTCCCACGAAGGTGCAGGGACCCAAACACTTGGGCCATTATCTGCTGCTTTCCCAGGCGACAAGCAGGGAGTTGGATGGGAAGTGAATCAGCAGGGACACAGGTGGAGGATTAGCTTTGAGCCACAGCACCAGCCCCTATACCTGTTTCTTCATATGTATAAAGTATCTGTTTTATTGCTATGAATTATTGGTCTTTGGTTGAACTGTCCTTGCAATCCCAAAATCCCTTTGTTTAGGGAAGGCGCTCGGGATCTCAGGGCCTTCCTTCTTTCTAATAAAAAGCCTTTCATCCAGCAAGATGAATATTTTTGTCTTTAAGATTTATTTTTTATTGGAAGGCAGGTTTTGAGAGACAGAAAGATCTTCCATCCACCTGTTCACTCCCCAAGTGGCTGCAATGGCCAGAGCTGAGTTGAGCTGATTTGGAGCCAGGAGCTTCCTCTGGATCTCAAGGGAGCTGGATCAGAAATGGAGAAGCTGGGACTCTGCAGGCAGCGGCTTAACCTGTTCTGCAACAATGCAGAGCCCCTCTTTAGCAAATCTTAAGGCTGCGATTTCTTGCTGGATTTTTTATTTTGATTTTTATTTTTTTAGCATTTAAGCAGCAAAGGAAATGCATTTCCTCCCTCCACTTGCTCATCCTCTGTAATCCTAAATTGTCCTTGACTTGTTTGCTTTCTGCTTTTGGTTTATAAGCTGTTTCTCAACACTCTTCCAGGAAAAATGTTTGCAATAGATCCATGATGTGGACAGGCACACTGTGAGTAGGGTCTAGGCCCACTTCATTCTTGCAAAAATCAGAGAAATGTTCATATGGAAACCCCATAACCTCTTTAATAGTCTCTCTATAGTGAGCCAGTAATTGCTCTTCACCAGATTCTTCAGAGATTCCTCACCTACCCATTCAGTCAAGCCCTCTGTCTTCTTTTGTCCCTGGCCTGTTCCCTCATTGTACTTACCAACCAATGTGCACTTCATATAATTAAACTTGTACATAGTACCTCTACATTTGTCAAAAAAACAATGATTTTCTGAGTAACACAGCTACTAGATTCAGATTTTTAAAATCGCATCCCCAAACATCAAGATTCAGTCTACAACTGATGTTTAGAGACACTTGCTAGAACAAAGCTGTCCCCCGCAAAATGTTAGTCCCATAGATGTGCTTCAGTGTGAGTGATCTTTAGACTACCATGTAACAAGAGACATAACAAGAGACAATCAGATGTTCCAGAAAACCTCCAGGAATTGGCTCCTCAGGCTCTGGATACTCTGCTGCTCATTCTGTAGGCTTCCAGGAATGTCCTGGGCTGAGCAGTTTGAAGCTCCTGCCAGTTGCTGTGAACGTGAAAAAGGATGGGGGAGAGGTATTTAAAGCCACACCTAAGTTTTCTCAGTGCTTAAACGGGGACAGATGGTAAATCTATGGTTGAGGAATATAAGGCTATGTGAGTTTGTGAGTCTCCAATAAGCGTCTGCTTTGTGGGTCATTGTTCAGCTATTAAAGGGGGAGCCCCGGGAAACCCTAGTACAGCTTTCTCTTGTTTCTCGTTCCTCATTTACAAAATTGGCTCTTGGATGAATCCTAGCTGTAGACTTAGTGCCATACCTTAGGAGAACTCCAAAGACGGTCTTTGGCATTTTATTGAGGATGCAAAATGCAATGAAGTGACATTTAAACTGCAGGTTTCCGCATGCTCCTTGGTTGCAAGTGAATTCTACGGTGGGTGACAGAGTTCCTGGGGAGTGGGGAATGAGGCCCTGGCTCTCTCAATCAAGAGAAGCTTGAGCGGTGAAAAGAGCAGCCACAGCAACCTAGGAATGGTAACCTTATTCGGAAAAGTGATTTCCCTCTGACAGTAAATAGTTGCTTGATGAGACAAAAATAGGATGAGAAGATCAGCACCTTCATTTCATCTTGGTGGAGCTCCTAAGGATGTGCCTGGCATGGTGCTCTGGGCTGAGCTCTTAAGGGAAATGTGATAGGGCCTCACATTTCTAGCACCTGTCCTAGCTCAGGAGACAGAGGCTGCAAGCCAGGACAGTGAGGCAGCTCTTGCAAGTATGCTGTAGTCTCCGCCGTGCAGCAGAGAGCAGGGGAACCCAGAGGAGCCAAGGGATGTGTCGGCCCTTGCGAGTCCAGGCAAGGTCAGAGCAACTTGCCTTGTGAGATGATTCTTGAAGGTTAAGGAGAAATTTGCAGTAAGAACATCTCAGACCAACTTTGGGAGAGGAGTCAGAGAAGAGACCCAAATCCGCGAGTGGGTGTGGCAGGCTTGGGAGGCCTGGCGGTAAAGCAATGCTGGAAAGAAGGCTGGGCTGAGCACAAGAGGGACAAGATTAGCCTAGAGCACAGCACAGACTAGAATGCGAGGGTCTTGTATGCCCTGTAACTATTTGAGGTTTTTTTTTTTCCAGCAACTGTGGGGGCAGGGAGGGGGTGGGGGTCACTGGCAGGAGCACGTTGGTGTTCTACCAAGATGCCAAAGTGCAGCACAGAGCGGAAGGGGCTTGCCTGGGGCAGGGAGAGCAATCAAGAAAACCACAGGCTCGCAGAAATGAAGAAATAGTAAGAGCTTTGGCAGGGCACAGGCGGGGAAAATGAAGAGACAGTGATAAATTGAAGTGGTCTGAGAAATGGACTCAAGTGACAAATCCAATCACACCACATTCTTTGGCTTAGAAATCACCCTGCTCTGCAGGTCATCCTGTATTAGCCAAGGCTTTCACCTGTGGACTTGGCATCTCTCTCTGACGGCCGGCTCTTTGCTTCCGCTCATAATCCAAGCTCCAGTCCAGTTGTCCCACACGCCTTGCTGATCCCTCAACAGGCTCAGTTCACTTCCACTTCCATGGCTTTGCACTCGCTCTTCCCTGGACGAGGGATACTGTAACCCCCACCTTCTCCCTCAGGGGGAACTCTTACTCACTCTCATAACTCAAACTTCCTCTCCACCCCTCCCCCTTTCCTCTGCCTCCCCCTTCTGCTCCCATCACTTCCACCTTGGATCGCACCCAGTGACTGCTTACCACAGTATTTTCAAATTCCCAGTTTGAGTGTTCATCACTCCCATAAAGTAGTCAGCTTCTCTTGGGAGAGAAAGATTCTTTCTCAGCACAGGATTGTACACATAGAAGGGTTCAATGATGGCTGAAGAATTGAAATGAGCATTGGCACTTGAACCAGTGTGACTTGCTGTGATTGCTGGTTAGGATGAAAAGGAAGCGAAAGGTAAGCAGTTTCTAGCTAAGGGGCCTGGACAGTTTTAAATAATGGAATTGCTCAGTCGGTTCCTCTGCTCTTCTTCTTGGCCTGTTCTCATCCTTTCTTCACAACGCAGCGAGAGCGGACGTTTCCCATTGCAGATCTCAT